AACTTGTAATCCCTTTGCTTTAGCCTTCCAAGTTTCTGGGATTTCAGGCATGCCACCATACCCACTGTAGATGATTAATTTTGATATCTAATTTCCATATTTTTCTAGAAATACTGCTTACATGTTCATTGTGTAGAATATAAGGAAAAAAATGAAAATAGACCCCAACTTCAGCATCACGATAGAAATTTGATGTTCAGTATACATATTTCCATTTTTTCCATATGTAGTTTGTATGAATTTGCATCATAAATTTAGTTGAACAAATTTATGGTGGGCAGAGGCATGGTTTTTACCTCAGGTGAATACATTACTTTATAAGGTAAAAGAGAATTAAAGCTGCTGCTGGGGCTGGGGTTATGGCTCAGCAGTAGAGAGCTCGCCTCGCATGTGCAAGGCCCTGGGTTCGATCCTCAGCACCATATAAAAATAAATAAATAAAACATTTTATATATATATATAAAGCTGCTGCTGATTTGACTATCCTGTCTTATGTATGTGCAAATGGAAGTGGTACAGAAAGAGAGGGGGGGTCAGAGAAAGGTATTGGAAGAAGCAGAAGAGTTTTGAAAAATGAGAGGATTCAGTCTATCATTGCTGGCCTTTTAAGACGGAGTAAGGGGACAATGAGACAAAGAACATGGGTAACATTCAGAAGCTGGATATAGTCCTTATGTGATAAGCCAGAAAGAAAATAACAAGGAACTGAATTTTGCCAACAACCTAAATGAAAAAGGAAATGGATTCTTAAGAGTCTCCAAGGGAATACAGTCTAACATCTAGATTTCAGTCCTGTGCAATCCATTATCACGTTCCTGACATATAAAACTGTGTGTTGTTTTAAGTCACTAAACCTGTGGTAATTTGTTACAACAGTAATAGAAAATATACATAGCAAAAAAAATTGTCATCTTTGTTTCGTTTAAATAAAGGTTTATCCAGTGCTGAATTCACATTTTCTTGGATTTGCAGGATATTCAATTCTTATCATTATCAGGCCCTTTCTTCTCCCACTGAAGTATCCTCTTCTTCCCGTAAGACCAGGCAAGGTTGTCTTCAAACCACACAAAGACCCATGGAAAGAAGTATAATGGTTAGGTTATCTACTTGAAAGATAAACAAAACGTAAGTTAACATCTTACTAAAATGTCTTGCCACAGGTAAATTGGTTATATCTCATCGATATTTTATTCCCCTTCCTAGTGCCTTGGAGTTTTCCAGAAGGTGGGTCACTGATAGTCTTTATTCTGAAACCAAGTATGCCACTGGTAACATCACATTTTCTCAGTTTTTTCAAGATCAAAGCTCATAAATCTGGATAGTGGGTGAATTTCCTGCCTCCGAGAGGGGAAACTGACTCTCTTTTCTGATTATATCTTTTTTTGTTGTTGTTGTTACTAGGGATCTGGAGATTGAAGCCAGGGGTGCTTTACCAATGAGCTACATCCCCAGTCCTTCGCATTTTTTTGTTTTAAGACAGGTTATTTTTTGTTTTAAATACAAAGGTATTTTTTGCTGATGCTGGCCTCAAACTTTTGATCCTCTTGTCTGAGTTGCTGGGATCACAGAGGTGAGCCACCAGGCCTAGATTAGGGGTTGTTCTTTAAAGAGAAGTACAGAGGGCACAGACCACATATATAACAATGGAAATATACTATGCAAGATGAGAAAAACATGAACAAGGGAAAAAGTAGTGGGAGAGCTAAATGGCTGGATTTTAAATCCTTTGCAGGGTAGTCAATGATCTGATATGGATGTTAAAGAGAAAGCCAAAGATGACTCATTTGCTATCTCATAGCAATGTTGGGAGC